GAGCGCCCCGCTCCCGCGCGGAGGAGGAGGAGGAGGAGGAGGAGGAGGAGGATACGAAGCTGAGGCGGAGGAGGCGAAGGCGGCGGATGATGATGCTGATGATGATGATGATGATGCTGATGGTGATGATGATAATGATGATGATGATGATGATGATGATGATGATGATGATGATGATGATGCTGATGCTGATGCTGATGCTGATGATGATGATGATGATGATGATGATGATGATGATGATGATGATGATGATGGTGATGGTGATGATGATGATGCTGATGTTGATGCTGCTGATGCTGATGCTGGTGCTGATGCTGATGCTAATGATGATGCTGATGATGATGATGCTGATGATGATGCTGCTGATGATTATGATGACGTTGATGCTGATGATGATGCTGATGCTGCTGCTGATGCTGATGCTGATGCTGATGATGCTGATGATGATGCTGACGCTGATGCTGATGTTGATGTTGATGCTGATGATGATGATGATGCTGACGCTGATGATGATGATGATGATGATGCTGATGATGCTGATGCTGGTGATGCTGTTGATGATGCTGATGATGCTGACGCAGCTGATGCTGATGCTGATGCTGATGCTGATGATGGTGCTGCCACTGTCGATGATGATACAGATGTCGATGCTGCTGATGCTGCTGATGATGCTGCTGCTGATGATGATGCTGGTGCTGCTGATGCTGCTGATTATGATGACGATGTTACTGATGCTGATGCTGATGACGATGATGCTGATGCTGCTGATGCTTTTGTGTTTGATCATGATAATGACGACGATGCTGATGCTGCTGGTAATGGTGCTGATGCTGCTGCTGACGACGATGCTGATGCTGGTGGTGCTGCTGCTGATGATGCTGCTGCTGATGCTGCTGCTGCTGCGGATGAATATGATGCTGATGATGGTGATGATGACGATGCTGCTGTGGATTATGATGATGATGCTGCTGATGATGATGATGATGATGCGGATGAAGATGTTGATGCTGATGCTGGTGCTGCTGCTGAGTATGATGATGCTGCTGATGATGATGATGATGATGATGATGCTGATGCTGATGATGATGATGATGATGATGATGATGATGATGATGATGATGCCGCTGATGATGCTGCTGCTGATGATGATGATGATGATGATGATGATGGTGCGGATGCTGATGCTGAGATGCTGATGCTGCTGCTGATGATGATGCTGATGATGCTGATGATGCTGATGATGAGGAGGATGAGGACAATGAGGAGGATGGGGAGGATAATGCGGCGGATGCGGATGAGGGTGAGGAAGAGGAAGAGGAAGAGGATGAGGATGAGGATGAAGATGAGGATGAGGATGAGGATGATGATGATGATGATGATGATGATGATGATGATGATGATGATGATGATGATGATGCTGATGATGATGATGATGATGCTGATGATCAGGAGGAGGAGGAGGAGGAGGAGGAGGAGGAGGAGGAGGAGGAGGAGGAGGAGGGAGGAGGAGGAGGAGGAGGAGGAGGAGGAGGAGGAGGAGGAGGAGGAGGCGGAGGCTGATGAGGAGGAGGCAGAGGAGGAGGCGGAGGAGGAGGCGGAAAAGGAGGAGGAGGAGGAGGAGGAAGGAGGAGGAGGAGGAGGACGACGACGGGGAAGCGGACGATGAGGAGGAGGAGGAGGAGGAGGAGGAGGAGGAGGAGGAGGAGGGGGAGGAGGAGGAGGAGGAGGAGGAGCATGATGAGGAGGATGCGGAGGAGCGCAGCGCCTCAGGAAGGCCTCCCGCCGCGCACGCGGGCGCGCGACGGACTACCCCCTTTGCGCCGCCTACTCACGGCACGGTGCCGTAAGAGCAGGAGGCGATGTAGAAGAAGAGCAACTGGAAGAAGTCGCCTTCAAGGCCGTGGACGCATGCCAACTTGCCGCCGACGAAGGAGGCGTCGCCACCGAAGACGCCGTGCCACCAGCCGACCACGGAACGGCAGCGAATCACGACATGGTCGATCAACGCGCAGCGTGGCTGCAAGAGGAGCCCCCCCTGCGGGGGCGGCGCTGCTGGGGTACGTCGGGCACGAGGCGCCAGGCCCCTCTCGACGCGCCTGATCGCATCTTGCTGGTTGCGGCGCGTGGACTCGTTGGGCGAGAGCCCATCGCACCTCAAGCCAAGCTTCCGCGCTGCGCGGACATTACCCGCAGCGCAGTGAGACCCGCGGCGCCTGCAACGTTAAACATTGTCGCCCCTGAACACGTCGCGCCCAAGCGCAGCGATGGCGCCCCCGACCTCGGCCAGGGCAGGTGGCGACGAGGCTGCGGAGGCCGAGGGCTGCGGGCCCCCATCGAGCGCCGAGGCCGCGCCCGGGGCCGTGCCAACCCTCTGGTCTTCGCAGAGAACCCAGCCCTCGCCGAAGGCGCGGAAGTACTCGGCGTTGAGAGAGAGCTCTGGCAACGCGCGAAGGGCGACGTACGCGATGAGAGCCAGTTTGCAGCGACTCGAGGGAGGGGCCCGTTGTGGCCGTGACTCCGCGTTGGGTGCATCGGCACCGCCCGAGGCTGGCGCAGTAAGCAAAGACATGGTCCGGACTGCGTGCCACCACAACGGGCCTGGCCTGCTCGCAAGGTGGCCTGGGGGCCTCCACGTCGCACCCCCATTGTTTGCGAGCCGCCGCCTGCAGTGCCGCCCGCGAAATGAACTGCAGGACTTTGCGGTGCTGTTTCAGCGCAGCCGTTGCCGCCTCAGCTACCGACCCAGCCTGTGCGTGAGAGGCCGCGCCGCAGCGCGCGATGTAGTCTGCCCAGCCGTTGCCTTGCCAGTCGCGCAGTTCCTGCGGATCTGTGCCCATGAGCTCCTCCAAGGACCTGTGCGCTGGCGCTCATCGGAACTGGGGGGGGGGGCGCAGAGTGCGCCTGCGGCTGGCCGCGAAGATGTCCCGCCGCGCTCGAGCATGCTTGACGCGACCCTGCTCGAGCTCGTGGCGCCGACGCTCTCCTTCCTGGGCGAGCGCCGGCAGGTCAGTGACGAAGCGCCGGTGGTCAGGGAAAGCGTTGAGCCCTTCCCTCGCGGCCGACAGTCTGCGCCAAGTGCGGAAGGGGCCGGAACCGCGCCCTAACTGGGGGCCGCGAATAAGGATCAAGCTGCGCAACAGCTTGTCCACATCTCCGCACCCTGGGAACACCTGAGTCGCACCCAGACCCATCGGTGTAAGAAACGGGGCCCCAAACGCCATGTGCGTCGCCCCAGAGGCAGACATCATGCCTCCCCGCATCTGCGCGTCGCAGATAAAGCGGGAGGCTCGGGCATGCCAAAAACGAAGTAGGACTGCTCGAAGTTCGGCGCGTTTGATCCAAGACCCGCTTGGATAAGTTGGTCGCGCACCTCAGCCAGCACTTGGGGGAGGTGGAAGATGCCGCGGCCATCCAGCGTTGATGTCGCTGTCTCGGGCCCGCCTTGCCCGCGCAGCGCATCGGGCGCCGAGGCTGGGGCCGCCGCCGCGGGGGGCAACGGGCCACTCTGTTCCGAAGCAACCGGCGGCGCACAGGGGGCACTCTGCGCGTCCAGCCGCGCGTTCTCTTGATTGCCGTCGCACCCGCCGGGCGGCGCAAAGTCGACCTCTCCATCAACCCCTTGCCCGATGCCCGCTGGAAAGAAGTCGCCCTCGGCCTCCGTGGTGCTGGGTCGGGTCGGCAGGGCGGGCAGGGTCGGGTCGGCCCGACTCTCAAGGTTGACGTGAGCTCGCTGGCATAGGTCGCCGAAGCCCTGCTGCATGCCAGGGTTCTGCGCTTGTCGCAGACCTTGAGCCCCCCTGCGGGGGGGCGGGTCAGCAGCGCGGTGCATTCCAAGAAGACATGGCCCCAGCATCGGGCGCAAGGGCCTTCCCGCAAGCCTGACATGGGCGCGTGGGCATGCCGAGCTTCATTTTCCCCAAGAATCGGCATGGGTATGTTGTCAGACCATGGCGCCTGTAACGCTCCCAGCTGCCTTGCGGCGTGGACGCCCTTGACCGCGCGCTTGAGCCCGCGGTGCCAGATCGGCGCGCCTGCGAGGGAGTACACGTGGCTGGCGAGGCGGTCGCGCTTCGGGCGCTGCGCGCCTTGCACCGCAGACGGACGTGGGTCAGCAGGGCTCGCGCGGCACAGGTCGTGCCGGTTGCCCAGGTCGTCCTGCGAGACGCGCGGCGCTTTCATGTCCCAGGCTGGCCGCCTGAGCGTCAACCGCGTCGCGGCCAGTGGAACTTTGGCATTGGGCCAACTGATTGGGACAAGCCGCTCATGGAGCGCTGTCCAAGCCCTTTGAAGGCGGCTAGGTGGCGCGCGCCCATCCCAAATCCAGGCGGCGTAGTTCAAGGCCAGGTCCAGCGTGGCATGGCAGATGGGGTCGTACTCCTCCGAAGGGTGAGCAAGGAGGTATGCCGTGACGCCCACGTGGTGTTTGTCACTGCGCCCGTTTAGCACCGCTGCCACGTTGCGCATCTCACGTAGGGGCGCGTCCGCCAACCCCGACACTCCAGCGCCGTGCCCTGCGGGCGGCATGAGCCCAGTCCGCCACAGGGTGGAGGCCTTGCGCCCTACCGCGCGACGCAGCATGAGGAGGCGGTGCTTGCGCTCCCGCGCGGCCTTCATGCGCTTCTTCTCAACCTTCCTCAGTGCTCGAGGGCCATGCAGCTCATGGCCAAGGTTGCGCATATTTCGGGCTTGGTGGGCCGCCCGGGGCAGCCGCCGCTGGGCCCCGTGCACCGCAGGGCGGGCCTGCGCTGATCCAGTTATTACCGCGGACTTAGCAGGTTGGAGAATAAGCCCGGGGTCCTTGGCCTCTGCAGCGAGCACCATCGCAGTGCGCAGCCGCAGCTTGACATCACAGATGTCGGGGGGGACCATCTGCAGGCCGATGTCGTCCACCAGCGAACGCGGCTTGATTGTCGGCGCAACCCTGCTGGCCCGCGGGGGGACACGGTACGTCAGCAGGTAGATGGGGTAGGTGGCATGTGTGCACCCCGCCAGCACCCCCT